AGATAGATAGATAGATAGATAGATAGATAGATAGATAGATAGATAGATAGATAGATAGATAGATAGATAGCAGACTGAGAAGAGATCACTGTATTTTAAGGGTGACGGGGTTTAAGTATCTGGCTGCTGTGTCGCCTCCAAGAACAGCCAGCCCATGTAGTCATGGGCACGCTGTACTGTCCCAGAAAGCCTCCAGAGGAAGGGAACTGTGTATTCCCTACCTTGAAAACCCCAAAAAGGTTCTCTCTAAGTCAGAATCGACGTGATAGCATCCAATACATACATAATTCCAGACCTTTTTAATTCTGTCTTTTATTTATTTATTTATTTTTATTTAATTAGGAACTGTGTCTACCTTGAAAACCCCAAAAAGGTTCTCTCTAAGTCAGAATCGACGTGATAGCATCCAATACATACATAATTCCAGACCTTTTTAATTCTGTCTTTTATTTATTTATTTAATTTATTTTTCGCCCACACTACCCAAAGGTCTCTGGGCGGCTATGTATTGACCCTGCTGATTATAATCATTTCGGCAACTCAAAGCTGGAAAGAAATCAAGATGATTTATTTTATTTATTTATTTAAAATATCCCACCACATCTTTCTGCTTTAAAAGGACCCTGCATCATTAAAAGATGACATTCAAAGCTCACAACGGTGAGCATACAAATACTAAAAAGGATCAAACAAACACCATACTAAAAAAAACCTTAAAAGCCACACCGAAACAATGCTGATGGGAATTTCACGTCCTTAACAGCACAGCCATCCAGCAAAGCCGCTGCCAGAGTCCGCCAAACCTCCTTCCCACACTACTTCAAAACTGGTGATTGGATTTCCAAAACACCAAGCCGAGCTGTTCCTGGTTAGTCTGGAATCTTACCAGGGTGTTCCCAGTGTTGGCAAGGAGAATCGGCACCTTGCGGTACACGGAGAACTTAATCTCCTTCCTCATGACGGGGTTCACCTCCACAATCTCGTACGGCAGCTGGTGGTAATCGAGAAACGCCCGCACCTTGCTACAGAAAGGACACGTTTTGTATTGGTAGAGGGTCAGCTGTAACCTGCCTTCCGGGAGCTGAACGGAAGAAGAAAAAATGGATGATGCTCTACGCAGGGCGCCCTGCGCAGGGCACATGTGCATGTGGCAGGGCCTTCTTGGTGGTGGCTCCCCAGTTTTCGAAACTCCACCCCTTCCAAGGGCAAATCTGGATGTCCTCCTCCTATTCCTCCTTATCATCATCATCATTCAAAAACATCAGGCACAGTCAATCAAAATTATATAAGCATTGTCTGGTATTATATAACAGATACATGTTTTAACCAAAAACCTAATAAATTCTGCAGACTCTGGTTCTTTTGCATCTCCGGTTCCCACCCCCCACCCCCTTTTAAATGAACATTTCATTACAAAAGGTTACAGGAAACAAATCACAAGGTAGGAGAACGGGGAATGGGGGAGGTTGATCAGGCTGGCAGAGGAAGGGCCAGTGCAATCAATGATCAAGACTTCTAACATTTTGCTTGGCGATGCTAAAATACAGCACAAGACAACCACAACCCCCCCCCACACACACACACCTCTAAGAAGAACCAGATCAGCAACTGAACAAGGGAAAACCAAATAAAGCGCTTTAAGGGAGAGAGAGAGAGCCTAATTAGATTATGGGTTATGAAAGTCACAAGACGCAACCCTGACTATGCATTGAGATTGCTTGGTGGGGGAGGGGAAAAAAAGGGGGGGGGAGATCAGCAGAAAGGCAAGGCTCCCAGCAGCTGCTTAAAGGGCGGGCAGCCGTGAAACCAAGCATCTGGGGATGATGGGAAAGGGAGTCCCCGGTGCATGGGATGGTTGAGTGGGCCGAGTCCTGGGCTGGCCATTGGGGAGGCCGGCTGGCTAGAGGGAGAAGGGGCTTGAGGGCTCTGCTCCTCTTCTTCCTTTTCCTCTCCTTACCTGGACTACCTCCTGCCTGGCCTGCGGGGCCGGCCCTTGGAAGCGGTGCCGCAGCGTCTGATAGACGCCCAAAGTGCCCCCCAAGGCAAAAGCGGCCCCCAGGAGCCAAGGGCGGCCGGGATTCCTGGCCCACGTGGGCCCGAAGCCCCTGCTGGCTCCGGTGGAAGAAAAGCCCCGGGATCGGCTGCTCGCCTCCAGGTGGGGAGTGATTTTGGAACTAGAAAACACAGTTTCTGAATCAGAAAGCACAGTCACAACCCCATATCTGCAGGGGATTGGTTATAAGCCCCCCACGGATGCTGAAAACTGGATAATAATGAACACTATAATAATAATTAGCATGATAAAAGAGCAAAATCCAAGAATATGTATTTTCATCTATATCACCAGAATTGGCCAACCAAGGGAGCCAGAGACCATGCTATGTATTCTTGAACAATAACAATACCTAGTAGGGTCTCGTGCTCCTGTAGTGGCCACTTTGGGTAAATACATTGTGAAAATACCTATCTCTAGAGTTTTTTCTTTTTCTTTTAATTGTTTTCAAAATTTCAGACCATGGATAAGTGATACTGTGGATACTGGTCCAGTGCATACAGGGGTACTACTGTATGTCCAGCCTGAGAGAAACAGATGTCTACCCAACTGTCTGCAGTATTTGCAGCAATGCGCTCAATGCTGAAAGGGAGACAGAAAGGAAGCACTTTCTATTTATAGACATTTTAATTGAAATCCTATTGGCACTTGCATAAGATATGAGTAACTTGCCATGGCTACCTGCAGCTGATTGATGAAGTGCTGGGGTACATCCTGGTTGCACAAATCAGGCACATAACCAGGTATGTGACCCAGACACTCCTTGGCATCTTTCAATTAGCCAGGGCATGTTACTCAAACCTTATGCAAACACCAGTATGCAAGCACCAATGTATAATAGGTGCCAGGCATCCATAACCAAAGGCCAGCTAAAGCTAATGATGGCACCAGCAATGGAGAATGTGATGGGAGCAACTTAGTTCAGAGGCTGGCAGCAAGTCTGGCATGCAGGAAGTTGCAGGTTCAGTCCCTAACAGCCACACTTCAAAAGGTGCTGGAAAAAGCAATTTACAGGAACAAATACCCCACTAAAAGCAGGAAACGAAGGCAACACCAAAAAACACGTTGAAAGCAATAAGGCACAACAGTCCATTCAAGATCCCAACCCAGGGAGCCAGTCTATAAGGGAAAGCTTGCCCGAAGAGGAACATCTTCGCCGGCTTGTGAAAGGATAGCAAAGATGGGGCAAATCTGCCTTCCAGTGGGAGGGAGTTCCAAAGGCCGGGAGAGTCTTTGAAACACAGCTGCATCTTTGATAGTGCAGGGATGGTGTTAAAATACTTGTATGTGTTTCAAACAGTGAGGTTTTTTTTCTTAATGGCTCCTTATCTTTTTCATGGCAAGGGCAAGAAAAACATGTTCAAAAAGAGGCAAAAATAAATAAAGAAAATGAAAAAACCAACCCAAAAGGGTCAAAGGCTGTATTGTGTGACTGTGCCCATCCTTATTCATTTATTACTTTCATTTTTCCCCCTAGCTCACGGCTTAGGAAAGTTTAGTGCAAATGCTGGAAGATAACTTTTTTGAGCACCAGCCTAGAATCCTGTCAGAAGGCCAACATGGGGAGATTTAACAATCAGAGGGATTGGTGACAGGGGATACATTAATAGGCCACTAATAAAAAATATTTTAAAAACATCATGCAAAATGCAAGCTTTTGTGGGTGAATCACATGATCAGAGGGACTGTTGACATCATCTTCAGGACTCAGCCAATCCTGAGGTTTCTGCTGCTGCCTTGGGAACCCAAGCCCATTCACCTGAGTCTTGGTGACCTCACAGAGCCCCCCTCTCTGCTGGCAGATAAAAGGGGCTTGCTGGGCAGGGCAGGAGACCAGAAGGGAGGCCAGTGGCCAGAGGGCAGTCTGGCAGAGAGAGCGGCAGTGGCTGCAGAGGACCCAGCCCTTCTGCCCAAGGCAAGTTCTCTTGCAAAAGCAAGTGAACTTGCTAAGTGGGCTTGCGAGAACAGCTGGAGGCCGGCGGAGATCTGTGGCTTGAAGCTGGCTGATGTTGGCGATGGACCAGGGGGAAGTCGGTGGACGTTGGCAGACAGAAGCTGGTGGAATCTCCCTGCAGAAGCTGGCTGAGGCCACAAGGCGGAGGCTGGCAGAGGATGGCGGATAAAGACACAAGACGTTAGCCTCCTGAAACCAGCTGGCGGAAGCTTGGTGGATATCGGTGGATGC